GATCTTTACACCTTCACTACTAACAATATCAAACAGCAAACCGTATACTCTCAAAAAATTGTTTATCACGTTGCCTAACATTTTTACAAATTGCTTGTATTCTCCAATGAATCTCACATTGAATCTGCTTTGCCATTTCATTCACAGCCAGTTCCGGACCTCCATGTTGAATGCCATTCCTTAGCCTCCAGATGCTATACACTGCAGTAGTTAACACCCCAACCAGCAGCCTCTGCTTACATTTATTCTGCTTCCAGATATTCATCAGCTGAGTTTTCCATTTTGCTATACTTTCTGGAACTTTGTCACACCCTAACCAGTTTTTCAGCTGTTGTAGCACTAACTTGGAAAACTGACACTTAAAAAACAAATGTTCTAAGCTCTCATCTTCATCTGAATAGAGTACACATTGCAGTGATTGATCAATAATGTTTAGGTCAGCAATCTGTCAGAAGTAAGAAGTTTTTCCTTCATCACTAACCACATGATAAAACTGTGTCTGGAGATATTATATTTATTCCATATCATTGAAGCTTCCCTCGTTCTTGTTTTATCACCTCTCATCTGTCTATACCCAAAATTAGTAGAATAATCCCCATTCTTTGATCTGACCATTTCCCCTGGACAACCCCCTCCGTCATTATGTCCTTTACAGCCATCAACTTCTTCCAATACCTACAAGTTCCCAAAGAAAGTTGATAATCCCATACTGTTATACCTTTTAAGTAGTATTCACGAAACCACTTAACCCAAAGATTGTCCTTTTTAGTAGCTGAACTCCAAACTTGCTTACCTAGGGCTGCCTGATTCCATACTTCAGGTTCCTTAATGTTTAACCCTCCTAGTTGCTTTGGTTTACAAATATCATCCCAGGCTACCAAAGTATAAGCTCTACCATTTTGCTTCTTTCCCCAGAAGAAATCTCTACACACTCTGATAATCTGCTTAATAACACTTTTCAGCATCATGAAAATAGAAGCCCAGTGTAAAGCCATCAACACTGCATTAACCAAAACCACTCTACATGCATAGGATAAGTGCCGAGTAGTCCAACACTTAATCCTTGCAGTTACTTTATCAACAAGCAGTTGACAGTCAACAACATTCTATTTTTTAGGAGACAAGGGAACTCCTAAATACTTCATGGGAAAACTACCTCGACTAAACCCCATTATACTCTAGATTTCCATTTTAACTTTTTCTCTAACACCACCACAGTAAACATTTGATTTCCATTTTGCCTTTAGGCCTGTTGCTGAAAACCCTTCTAATACCTTTTTAACTCTTCTAACAGTTTGCAAATCAACTTTACATAAGATGATTAAATCATCAGCAAATCTAAGATTTGTGATTTGCAACCTTTTACATTTTGGGTGATACAGAAACCCTCTGAAGCCAGCTTCAAATTTAAACATCCTATTAAGGTACTCCATACATAATACAAATAACAAAGGAGAGACATGATCTCCTTGTCTTAATCCTTGTTTCCCTTAAAAAAAACCCAGCTAATCCACCATTCATACACAACGAAAAACTGCTTGTAGTAATACATTCTATAATACATGCAATTAACTTACTTGGAAATTTGTAAGCAGCTAAGAGTTCTTCAATAAACTTCCAAGCAACCAAATCATAAGCTTTTTGGAGGTCCACCTTCATTAAGCATCTTGGGGTGGCGTTCCGTCTGTTGTATAACTGAATCATTTCATGCGTTAAAAGAATATTATGAAGTATCAAACGATCTTTTACGAAGGCTCACTGGTTCTGATCTACCAAGTATAACAACACATTTGACAGCCTATTACTTATAGTATTGGTAATATATTTATACAGTGTATTACAACAAGATATTGGCCTGTAATCAGCTGCTGTGAGAGGCGTCTCTATTTTTTGGATCAGCGCAATGATCGTTGAATTCATCTGCATTAGCAATTTCCCAGTTATGAAAAATTTCCCCACTGCTTAACAAGTATCTTTCCCTACCACATTCCATATTTTCTTATAAAAACCACTGTTGAACCCATTAGGGCCTGGGCTCTTACTGTCATCAATCGAAAATATTGCATGTTTTATCTCCTCTTCCTTCATATCTTTAATGAGTTCTATTTTTTGCTCTATTGATAGAACTGGTCTAGTATAACATATCTCTTGTTTAACAGCTTCTCTTTCAACCTTTTGTCCCAAAAAATTTGTAAAAAATCATAGAAAATGATCCTTAATATCCTTCTAATCTTCAACTATAACTCCTTCTGTGTTTGTAAATGAGAGTATTCTCTTTCGTTTCTGCTTCTTCTTTACTACAACATAGAAGAAAGCTGTGTTCATGTCACCTTGCTGCGCTCAAATTTCTTTAGACTTTTGTTGCCATTGACTGTATCCACATGAACTTTTCTCAACATATATTTTAACTATCTCTTTCTCTTTATCCTGTAACTCAATATTCTGAGGCTGCAGTTGCAATGCTTGCTGAACTTCCTCCATTCTACCTTTGGCTTTCATTGCCTGCTGATTAATATTGACAAACCTGCTTCTATTGAGATCTTTTACTAATGGCTTTAGTCTTTTTTGCTTCTGGACCAACTTAAACTGCTTACACCCTTTAGTTTCTTGCTACCAACTTTCTTGAACCCGACGCTGGTACTCTTTTGCCTTAGTCCACATGTTAAAGAATCGGAACCATTTCTTTATTTAATTCCCTCTATAAGTCCATTTGACAACTAAGGGGTAGTGATCAGACAAACCTTCTGGCAGTACAGTGGCATAGCTCTCCTCATACTTTTGCAGCCAGTCTTCGTTTACTAAAACCCTGTCAAGTCTAGCATATATTCGCTGATCACCACTCTGCTTATCATTCCATGTATAGAATCCTCCATGTGTCAAGAGATGATCCACCTTACACTCCTCCACCACCATTATAAACTCCCCTACATCTACAAGAGTAATAGGTAAACCTCTCACTTTCTCCTCATGGCTTAGCACACTATTAAAATCCCCTGTAATAATCCAGGCATCCGTCATTATCTGCCCTAATTTTATAAGTTCATCCCATAGATATGATCTCTCATTTCTAGAATTTGCACTATACACCACTGTTAGCCAATATCTCCTTTTAGTTTCTCCATCTTCAACCTCACAATGAATGAACTGTTCTTCCTTTCGATGAACCTTAACCTGTATATCATCTTTCTTCCACATTACTACTATTCTATTCATGCCTCCAGTAGTATTATTATTCCACACAAAATCATACTCCTCCTAATCTTTCTTCATTATCTCTTCCACTTTTTCATCTTTCATCTTTACTTCCACTAAACCTATTATTCATAGTTGATACTTTTTCATCTGGCATAGTTTAATAAAACTAACTGCTTTAGCTCTCTTTGTTTCAGGAGACTATGCAAATCGCTTTGATTCTATACTATGATATTATTCATTGGGGAGAATCCCCTCTGTATCCCCATCCCCTATCTCCATCCTCATCCTCATCCTCATCCATATTGTATTGTACTTTTTCTTTAGCTTTATCATTCTGCCCCTTTCCAAGTACCTGAATGTGCTTATCATCTGTTTTCCTTTCTTCCCGACCCTTAACTAGTTCAACAGCCTTAGTATCAACCATGACAATCTTCTTTTGCTACTTCACTTGTTGAGCTTTTTGCCTGCATATCTCAGCCTCATGCTCGTATCCTTGACAATTCTCACATCTAAGTGGCTTCCATTCATAAACAATCTTCTGCTCTTGAACCACTCCACCCTCATCTTCAAACCACAGCTGTTCTGGAAGCTTATCCTTAATTTCCATTTCAATCAGCAATCTAGCAGTATTGCTTACTAGCAGTCATGGCATCCATTTGCAGAGGCTTTCCCACAGTACTAGCCATCTTGCTAAGAGACTTAGGGCTCTAGTATTTCAGTTTGAGTCCTGGCAGTTTAATCCATATAGGTACCTTCATAATTTCTTCCATTTTAATTCCATATTTAATTGACCAATGCTTAACAATCAAGGGTTTACTATCCATGTGATAATGATTCCCTAGCACTGCCAAATTCCCTTCCATTTTCTGGAATCTTACCACAAAAACCCCATTGTCAAGCAGCAAAACATTTTTCACACCATGCCTCCCCCAGATTATTCTGATGAAACTATTCATAACCCTATAAGGAGGATATCCCCCTAAAACATAGCAAATCACAGAAGATTTCCAATATACTATTTCATCCTCTACATCATCCACCGTTATTTTGGCAATCTTCTTATCCGCTATAGTTTTAGGATCGACATACTCTAGATCGATAGGAACTGCCCTAATTTTGTCTAAATTAAATCTGGACCAATTAGGATCCACTTTCGGTTTATCCCCTACCTCATGCAATTCATCCAATTTCTCACCCGAATCAATAACTTTCCAAGTACACGGTTCCTCCAGAATGGAATTAGCATGAATAGACAAAGGTTTGCTCACCGGTATTTGATTCTCTGTTTCCTGAGTCTGACAAGTCGCTTTGGCACCAGAAGTCTCTCCGATTGAGCTTGTCGACGCTCTAACCACCTTCACCAAATGCTTAACCGCAACTCTCTTCCTCTTCGCTTGTCTTGCCAGGGCAGATTCACATGTTGAATCGACAAAAGAACGAGAAAGATGGTGTCTGAAATTTTTACACAATGAAACGTAAAATCGCCCACAGTAACAGATCGTGTATTGAAAATGATCCCAACCTAAAGAAAAGTGTATGTAATTCATAACTCCTGAAATTCATATACTACTTCTGTCTTTTAAAAAAAATAAAAAAATAATTCTCAATTAATTTTGTTTTTGGAGAAGACTACGACTATCTTCTCTTAAGATATAGATGCTCCCTTTGAACTCTTTCGTCAGATATGACATAATGATTTTGAGAAAAATACCAACCCAAAGAAAAAACAAAATACAAAATTTTTGTACCAATAAAAGAGATTCGACAGGACAACGAAATACACTCTATTTACTGTTAAGTTATGGAAGCAGCAGTGTGGGTCCCAAGTAGAGAGAGAGAGAGAAAAAAATACGATGGGAATGAGGCGCACAAAGCCGACAGATGGGCCCCCACACTCCTCCCTCCATCACCATTTCCACCTTCCCACACCTACCTTTCCTCTTTGCCCCTTTCCACTTTTAATTTCCCTCTCTTCCTTTATCTTCCTCCTTTCAGTTCAATCCATCTTCCGTATTCAGTCTTTGTTTAATTTCCTAAAATCGAAATTTTGTGAGAAACCCAAAATCGGGTTCTGTTCCTCTCGAAGAAAAAAAGCAAACCGAAAAAAAAAAATTGAAAGAAAACGGTGGAGAATTATATTCTGAGTTTTTTTTGATGATGGATGGTGGTGGTGGTGGAGTTTCTTCGAATGGGTCAATGTCAACTGTGTCAAAAGAAGACAACTTAGTCATGGTTTCTTCTGAGGTTTCTTCTTCCTACCCAGATGAGTCTGAGCTGGAGTTGGGTCTTGGCCTTAGTCTTGGTTGCGGCGGTGGCAGAGGCGGCGGCGGGAGTGGTGGTAGTAGAGGTTCTAATGTTGTTAAGTCGTCGAAGACATGGGGTCAAGGAGGGGGAGGAAGAATTTTGACGGCTCAGGATTTCCCTACTGCGGCGGGTTCTAAAGCTGTTTCCTCCTCTTCATCGTCTTCCTCCCCAACTGCCACAAAAGCTATTGGTAACAGCAATGCTTTCTGCGGCACCAAACGAAACGCTGATTCCTTTTCGCCTCCTCGTTCTGGTGTCAGGTAAAAGAAAACAAAAAAATTTCGATGTCGATTAGGATGTTTCTAATTTGTGATTAATTTTGATGCCCTGTCTTATTTGGTATACTTTTCTTAGTTTCCATTTTCTGGCTTTCGACTGTTGGTTTATTTTTCCTAGTGTGTCTTTTTATGGCCCGTACCGCGTTTCTCTTTGTGCTCGTGGAAGCTGATTTTCCGATTGCTTTTTTCCGGTTGACATGAGTTTTTTCCACCGGAAATGTGTCTGGAAGAGTACAAATGAACAACCAGAATTTTAGTTTTGAATTAGGCTAGATCTCACTTAGGAATAGCTGAAACTTTGATGCTCTAATTTGATTTTATGTACTCAAGCTTTTAAACAACGAAATGATTGATATAAACTTTTTAGAGTCTAATGGGGGAACAAAGTAATGGGATAGTAAATGACGTCTAATTCATAAATTACAACACTCAGTAGTACATTGAATTAGAGTTCTTGTACATTTGAGATCACTTGTTAATTTACTAGGTGGTGCAATTTGCCCTTGTGTGATTACTGATTGCGTTCTCTTTTTTATTTGTTTGAGCAGTCAGGTGGTGGGATGGCCTCCTGTAAGGGCTTATAGAATGAATAGCCTAATCAATCAGGCCAAGTCACCAACTTCTGAGGTCTGTGCCTCCACCAATGAGAAGAGTAAAAACAAGAGTCCTCTGTTTGAAAAGAATGATGGCATCATGAATGGAAAGAACAATGACTCTCAGACGAAAGATATTTCCAAGAGTTCACATTTTGTGAAAGTGTATATGGATGGAATTCCAATTGGGAGGAAGGTGGATCTGAATGCTCATAATTCGTATGAGACCTTAGCTCGTGCTTTGGATGATATGTTTTGCACACCTAGCAATGCTGTCGGAGCGAGAAGTTAGTTCCTTATCATATTTGATGATTTTATTCTGTTGAAACACTTAACTCTCATCAAATCTTTGAATTATTTGCTTCTATTATGATTTTAACTCATGGTATTTTTAATTCAAATCAGCATCTTGCACAAAGGAGCAGGGTGGAATTAAAGAAACAGCAGTGTCTTTAAGGTTGTTGGATGAAGCATCTGATTTCGTCCTGACCTATGAAGACAAAGATGGAGATTGGATGCTTGTTGGAGATGTTCCTTGGGAGTATGTGTTTGCATCTGAACTTTTACATCATTATAATTCAACTACACTAATAAATGGATTTTATTCTGTTTTCAAATACCTTTGGGACTTCTAATTTTGGATAGTATGAGCTGCTTCCTTTTGTTTGCAAGATTAAGTTATACTCTGTATCTATGAAAAAGATAACAAGGGGTTCAAACTGCTTGCCTTTGGTACTTCTGTTTGGTTGATTAGTATATTTTTTGAGCAGAGGTTATAGGTGGTATCTCTCTTAAAACAAAAGGAGCTAACCAGCCAAGGGGTTGTGGATGGGTAGTATTTTTGGGCAGGTTACTTTAAGTACAAATGTACCAAGATAATTTTGGTAATTGAAAGAGCTGTCTTGATTAGGGAAATTGGTTTTGTATCTTTGTTTGTAATATGCATATGGGTAAAGGTATTTGTGTAGAACCACCTCTGCTTAGGAACAAAACGACATGAGAGCAAGCCATTTATTCACACAGTTGACTGGTCTTCCATGTTCTTTCAGGATGTTCATTATGTCTGTGAAGAAACTAAAAATTATGAAGACGTCAGAGGCTAATGGACTTGGTAAGCAATTTTGTTGTTGGTTTCCTCGTGTAGCAGGCGTGAGTGTTTCTTTGCCATTCATATTTCAGTTTTCTGTGCAGCTTCAGGATGTCAGCGAAGGAATGAGATTGAAAGAACTCAGCCCATTTGGACATAGCTATCTATATTGAGTATTTGTGGAGTTGCTTGGTTTGATGGATGGAGTAGTAAAGGATAACTCAGGAGTTGGGTGGTAAAACTAGTTTTGTACAAGTAGCCTTCTTGGTGCTTAATTTGGCCTGGCTGGTCAGTTTTGATGGCTGCTTCTTTTTATACGGTTTTCAACTTTGCGAATACTGACTCGGAAGAGCCATTTTGTCTGAAGATAGAAACATACGGTTCGTGTAATGACCTCGGGCATACTATCTGGAAGTTGCCCTTGGATCTTGTAAGTATTGAAGTGCATAGTGGGTAGATGTTTCCACGAAATACAAATCTCTTTGTTAATCAAAAGCAAGTTTCCACATTCTTTTTGTACTTGTTCTCTCCACAGTGATTACCTGCTTCCTTCCCCCTATTTGCTTGTCTGTGTTATTGATTCATGAAGAACTAGTTTTGCTAAAAGCTGCTTATAGATATGAAAAAACCGGAAGATCGATATTTCTCTTCTGATTGATCTATCTGCAACTTTCTTCAATATAGTCAATCTGTCAGGTTTCAGAGTTCAGGAAGTATAATTTCACTTGTGCCGATAGGATGTAAACTCAGAACATCAGCTGTGTAAGCACAGATGCTAAATTTGCACTTAAGATGTCATTAATGTGGAAAGATTACATTGTTCTAATGTACACAAATTGTAAATGTGAGCCTCTGGTTACAAAAAAGAATTACATCATTTGCAGGATTTAACATCCCCTAATCAAGAAGAATGAAATTTGTTAAATACAAATAAACAACTAAGGCTGCTATAGGTCCTGGCATGTTCTTACAGGATACCATTTACAGGTGCTGTGCTAAATACTGGGTTATCTTTGTTAGTGACATCATTGCCAAGGTTGCTTGTACCTTTCCTTCGAGGCTTTGCCTCTCCAAGCATTGTTATGACATCCCTCATGGAAGGCCTGTCCTTGGGAAGCTTGGCTGTACAAAGAATTGCAATTCTTAGGACCAGAAGCATTTCTTCTTGAACATGTTTTGTACTTCCCACTGAAGGGTCTAATGTTGTTTCCAACGATTTGTTGTCTCGGATCTTCAGCCGTATCCACTCCACAATGTCAACAGATTCTCCAAATTCTGGATCTAATGGCTTTCTGCCAGTGAGAAGTTCCATAAGGACGACTCCATAGCTGTAGATGTCACTCTTCTCATCGACTTTCAATGTATAACCATACTCTGCAAGGAATAATCAAATAGATAAGCATCAGTATCTTAATCAAAAGTTGCAATTTAACTACATATGTTTAAGAAATAACATTGATCAGTTTGAAGCTGAAGATAAAATCTGAGTAACTAACCTGGGGCAATGTAGCCATAGGATCCAGCAACCATTGAAACAGTTTCATTCTTTTTCACCATCATCTTTGCAAGCCCGAAATCTGCAATTCTTGCTTCCAGATTTGCATCCAAGAGAATGTTGTTTGACTTGACGTCGCGATGGATCACAGGAGGGTGGCAATCATGGTGGAGATATGCAAGCCCTTGTGCAACACCAAGAGCTATATTATATCGAGAAACCCAATCAACAAGCAATTTACCGGCTTGTTTTCCATGCAAAGCATCCCAAAGGCTGCCATTTTGCATGTATTCATAAACAATCATTGCCTCAGTGTCATTGTGAAGCAATCCCAGTAATCTAACAATGTTTCTGTGCCTCAACTTCCCTAGGACATTCACTTCGCCGACAAGATCATCACTGCTTCCCATCTCAACATCTGTTCCTGCTCTCCACAGTTTCTTTACCGCCACAACAGTGTTTTGCCTTGGGATTTCTGCTTTATAAACTAATCCGGTAGCTCCCATTCCGATCACATTTGATTCCTTAATGCAAGCCAGTAGATCATTGCTGTTGAATCCAAGTCTCTGAAAGGCCTTAAGCCTCCAGGGCCAGTCACTGCTGCTGTGTACTTCAAATCTTTCCTTGAAACAGCTTCCATCTTCATACCACCTTTGATACAAAGTTCGAGCCCCCAGACCTGCTAAAACCAGAGCTAGCAGGGCTGCAGTCCCAATTAGCCATCCGTAAATGATGTGTTTTGCGTGCAAGTTCTGTTTCGCCGTGTATGCTGCACTGTGGGAACACGGAGGAAGAACACCGCCACAGAGACCGGCATTGCCAACAAGATCATCCGGGTTGATAGTTCTAAGCATACCATTTGACGGGACAGGACCTTCTAACCTGTTGTAAGAAACATTCAGTGTTTCCAAAGCAGGGGAGTTCCCAATATTTTCGGGTATCCCTCCAGTCAAAGAATTGTTAGATAGATCAAGAACTGCCAATGTGGGCATCTTTGCAATTTCTCTTGGGATTGTACCAGTCAATTGGTTTCCTCTGAGGTTTAAGGTTACCAATTTCTCACAGGAAGCAATACTGGCAGGAATGTTTCCAGTGAAATGGTTAGAGGAGAGATCTAAAACAGAAAGTGATGGGCAGTCCTGGAACTGATCTGGGATTTGGCCTACTAATTTGTTGCCTGAAACTATTAAGCTCTGAAGATTGGAAATAGAAAGAATGGAGGAAGGAAGGGAAGACTGAAGATGGTTTTTGGACAAATCAATGAAAGAAAGAGAAGTAGACAAAGAAATATCACTAGGGATTTGTCCTGTGAGACTATTATTTGCAAGTTCAAGTCTCTGAAGTTTATCAAGTTTACCAAAGCCAACTGGAATTGTTCCAGACAGAAGATTATTATGCATTCTCACACGAACAAGGGACATGCAGGATGAAAGGGTAGTTGGAATTGGACCAGAGAATGCATTACTGAACAAGATGAGCTTAGTTAGGTTACCTTTACTGCACAAAGTATCTGGAATTGAACCAGAAAATGAATTGGAAGAGATATCCAACCATTGAAGTGGGGAATTCCGGCCGAGATCAACCGGAAGTGGACCTGATAGAGTGTTATTCCACAACTCAAACACAGAAAGTTCTGTCAAATCTGCAAGGCCTGCTGGAATTGAACCAGACAGTTGATTGCACATCAGATTCAGGAGCTGAAGATTCCTCAGATTAGATATCTCAGATGGAATTTCCCCTGTTAACATGTTATCAGATAAATCCAGCTGCAACAATGAACTGATGTTGCCAACTGAAGATGGAATTTTTCCTTCAAAATTGTTGTTGTACAAGAACATTGTCTCCAGCTTTGGTAGCTTCCCTAACTCCTCTGGAATTTGACCACCAAGATTTCCAACTGCCAGATCAAGGTACTTGAGACTGGTCATGTTTCCAAACTCTGCTGGAATTCCACCATGAAAATCATTGTAACCAATGACAATTGTCTCCAATGAGGAAAGCTCTCCAAGCTCAGGCGGCAACTGCCCAGAAAGATTGTTTCCTGACAGGCCAAGAAACTTCAATTTCCCCAAGTTCTTGTAAGATATAGGAATCGAACCTTCGAAGAAATTCCCTCGAAGATCTAACGTCTCGAGGGTTGTTAGATTCCCAAAATCCTCAGGAAGAGAGCCTGAGAAGTTGTTGCTGGAAATGTTCAATGTCAGCAATCCAGCTGCCCTTCCAAGACCAGCAGGAAATCCATCAACAAAATTGTTCTGGCTCAGATCAATGCTGACTAACCCAATGAGGTTTGTCAAAGACTTTGGCAATGGTGAATTGAACCCATTTCCACATAAGTTGAGAGAAGTTAAACTCTGCAGAATTTGGATATCATCTGAAACAATCCCGGATAGATTCATGTGAGAAAGATCAAGCTTCTGTACAGCACCATTGGAGTTGCATTGCACTCCGGTCCAATTGCAGTGAGCAGCTGCTGATGATGAATCTGCAACTTTCCAATCCTGAAGATGATCCAATGGATCGATGAAGCCAGCTTTAATTGACAACAAAGCTGAAACTTCATCTTTCTGATCAGCCACTTGTGCAGCAAAACAATGATTGCAACCAGCAATGAAACAGTAGATGATGAAGCAGAGTAAAAAAGGAATATAGAACTTCATAATGAAACCACCAACTCTTCTTCTTCTTCTTCTTCTGCAATGATGGTACTTTTTGTTTCAGTTGTCCCACTAGATCCTCATTATTTTCTGGGATCTAGATGGATATTTTCAGCTGGGCTAAACTGAAAAAAAAAAAAGAAAAAGAAAAGAGAGTAGAAATGTGGGAAGTGATGACATGAAAGAGGGAAAATGGTTTTTGGATTCAGGAATGATATATAGTAAACGCATACATGCACTGACAATAATTAAGTTTGGGATCAGTAAACAACTAATTAAAGTAATTAAACAAAGCTCGTGAGATCTCGGGTTCTGGGAAGAAAAAAACAGCTGGGTAATAAGCGAATAATGACTGGAACAAAAAAAGGTTTTTGGAGTTATTGAGGAGAAAATGCCCGACATTAAACATGGAAGGAGAATGTGTTGTAGCAGTTGAAACAATTGTTTCTGTCCGTCTTAGTATTATTATTCTTTCTTCTTCTTCTTCTTCTTCTTCTTTCTTCTGTTGTTTCTGCGTAGGCAGTCAACTGTTGACAGTCCAATGATTTTAACTTCTGAAATTTTTCACTATTTTAAGTTTCACTGCTTGGAATGATCCCATTTTCAGTAATTTCCTTGTCAGTCTCGGCTGTAAGATTAAGCCCTTGCACTGTGTTTTATTAATTCGCCTTAATTTTTACTATTCTTTTCGTCTAAAAATAATTGTTGAGAAGAGAGTACTATTTGATAGAGAACCAGTGTTCTTGGGAAAGCAAATTCCGGCTGCTAAAAATTCCAACATTTGTAGAATGACTAAAGCATGAAAAGATTCTAGAGTGGAAAAAAGGGGTGAAACCTTTGGGATTTGGACTTTGTCAACCATCACACTTATTTTCACTAAAAAAGCAGCTTTTCAAGTTTCATACATACATGCTTTAGTCATTATTATTAATAAACGAGAACATATTTGGTTAGATTTCCTTTTGTTATAATTTTATTTTTAACAATAAACATAACCAAAAAAATGAAGTTTAGTATGACTAAAAAGAGGTCTGGCACCTAAGTGATAATTAATTCATGACCTTAAGTTAATGTCTCTTTGGTTCGAGCCCTATGAACGAAAATATAAAAAAAAAAAATTGGGAAATCCTTATTTTGAAAAGAAATCTTTTAAAAACTATTTAGAGATTAGTTTAAATGTAGTACATGACGGCTCATAACACTTCATACATCCATTAAACAAAAATTGGAAAAACAAAAAAAAAAAGAAAAATGATGTAGCTTCTAAGAATGACAAACAGTCATAGTAACTTCTAAGTGAAGATCACTCTCATCAATTTATCGACTCAGGCGGCCCCCACAAAATGGGGCAAATGATGATTAAGAAGTAGTATTACTTACTAATTACTCGTAAGAGCACAAAAGGTTGTTAAATTACACTAGGAGAGGAAAAAAAAAAAAAAAAGGCAGAATGGTAATATAGTATTGTCCGTTTCTCCAAGGGCAGAATAACATGAAGCTTATAGACAGATAAGAGTTCACATTAATCCCACCAAAAGACAAAAAGGGAACCAAATATTTGTTAATCAATCCCGATATGTGTTAAACCAAATAAGTAAATTAGGCAAACAAAATATTAGTAATAGTAGTAAGTAGTAGTAGGAGATGTATTTGCAAATGTACAACTAAGTAATCTTAGTTGTATTAACATGGTAATGTGCATTTTGGACCACCATTCACTACCCATTTTTTTGTTTTCCCTTTCTACTACAATAAAAAAAAAAGAAAGGAATTATTATCTGTTTAAGCAGAATAAATTCTGCCATTTTCACATGCCATCATGTGGAGCTCAAGACTTGCAGATGTAAAATGGAGTTGTGTAACTACGTGCTAAGTAGAGTGATACATAAATTTATAATTATATATATATAAAAAATAAAAAAAGGTGAATATGGAGGCCATGTGAAATCGCAGCTTCCTTGGTAAGGTCCGGCCATCCCTACTTGCCTGCTTCCATCACCCCCCCTAATTTTTATTTTTATTTTCCCACAATTTTAATAACATCGGGTTAGTAATTGAATTATTGGAGAGAGAGAGTGAGAGAGGAAATATGTAGTTAAATGGCTAATCAACAATGCAGTATAATCACAAAGTTACATCTTAAGATTCATATATTCACAAACAAAAAAGACTTTTAATGATTTTATGAAGCGAGATTGAGAATATATATAAAAAGATGAATTTCGTAATATTCTCGTATAACAGGCTCTTGAAAGTATAGATGTATTCTTAACATGATGAGGTTGAGGTTTCCTGCTTTAAAAAAAATGATAATATAATTATTATGAACGATGTTTGCGTATTTCATAGTTTTTTTTTTTAAAAAAAAAATTTAAACCCTACTAGCAAGTATTACTAGGATTGGCTATATTATTGAGGGGGGAGTGAAGTGAAGTGTATTACGTGCCTCACATGGGAAAATCTCCACCTAAAGCACGGTGAATTAGGAATCTAGTACGATTTTTGGCATAAATTATTACCAACAATTTGCACAATTTTGCAATATTTCTGAATTGGATGATTGGAGAGAAGATGAATGAATTCTGGCATCTCTAGTAGTGTGATGATTGTGAGGGAAAGGAATGGAGAAAATTTATGTAAACTACTATTAAAAATTGCATTACATTACATTTTGGAGATGTACTTGCACATGTGGCACACCGCATATAACATAGAATCAAAGAGATGCATGGAAGGAATTTGGAGCGCCAACTTTTGGGCCGTCTTACCAAAGTAGTCCTACTCCATTTGTACTAACTTCCTGGTCTTCATTTTACTGGGTTGGACTGGTTTGCTGTCCATTTAAAGACGTACAGGCCACGCAGTTGACTTATTGAATTTGTCCAACCCAAAACCCAAAATCCCAAGTATCGTTAGATGGGATTAAAATCCAGATTCAGAATTAGATTCTAGAGGATTAAGGAAAGTTGGGGCTGGGCAGGCAGATATTTATTTGTGCCTTATTTGATTTTCGTTTGCTCCACTCCTTCTCTAAATTGTTACTCTTGTGAAAAAAAAGTAAAAACTTTTGAGATTTGTACTAAAGAAAAGTACAAAATTAAAAATTCAATGTGATTTTTTTTTTTTTGGGCATAATGGGAATATTTTGGTTTACCAAAAAGAAAAATAGTGGTACCAAAAAATATATAAGTATGTTGTTTGGCATAGGAAACATGAACATATTGTGATCTATACAACACTCTTGCTAAAGGAAGCAATATTTCGGGTGGGAACTATGCACGGTCCTTCAGCAGTGTCTTTGTAGCTTTTTCTCTTGATATTAACAAGGAACTAAAATTATTAGCCTTCGTTATACACGCCAATGGTTGTAGTAAAACATTACGAAAACATCGGAGAGATGGGAATTTTCAGTTCTTTGTTTTTCCGTCTGCTGTAGAAGGCCAGCCAGAGTAAATAATGAATGAGTTGGACACGTGTCACTGTTATATGCTGCGTAACAGGAATTGGCACAAAAAGTAGTGAACAGGTGATTCTCCCTCACCAGCTAGTAATGAATAGAGGAGGAGGAGAAACTTGGTCGGCACTCTATCAAGAGGAATTCGGTTGGGGATGGGCCCACCTAGTGGAGAATGATTCCAGAAAAAACTTGGGACTCGTGAGAGCAGAAGTTCTGCATGCATGGGGTGTTGCAAAGATATTACTGGGCTGGGGTCCTATTGCTTTGCCTACAACTAAAAAGCGCCGTTGTCTTTTACCTCCATATTTTATATTGCATCTCATCATTACAAACTCCCCCACTCCCAAATCTTCTCTCCCTTTCTTTATTTTATAGTAGTTTTCTACCACATTGATCACGCACATCTTTTTCCCCAACACCCTTGTCAGGTATATGAGTAATATACTAATATTATTTGCTCTTTGTCCACCACCATCATCATAACTCAAAAGGGTTACTACTTTTTAGTCATCATTTTTTATCATTCCCTCATTATATATGCATTTTTTACTAGCTCACATTTATATAAAAATACCTCAATTGTTGTAGTAGTGGGGGTACGAATTGATGATTGATGGTTTCTTAATTTTGACACAATTTGGAAACTACATCTTATCAAATGTTCATTAGCAATGCAAATATTGCTGCAAGACCATAGTAGATTTTTTTTGACACTTTTTTTTTTTCACGAATAATTTCTTGTCGCCTTTTCCAATAATTGATTGATCTCCCCGGTCTTCTTGGATATCAAAAGTCGAAAAGAAATAAAGAATAAATTTAAAAAACTCCTTTTATGGGGTAGACCCGATCATCCATCACCATCACTTGGAGAGACAAAATTGTAAACGTTCTCTGCGCCAATACTACTCCAATAGAACTTTGGGCTGTTTCAGAAAAATAAATTAAAAAAAAAAAGAACTTAAGGAAATTCTTTGGACTGTAAAAAAAAAACTTATGCTTACTTTAGCCTACTTTTACCAGACGGTTATTCTCCCCAATTAGATAAGATCAACCACAGTGTGACGTCATGCTACTCTGCAGCTCCCACTATAAACTGCACTCACAAACAGTACAGACTACAGAGCAGCATCACAATTTTATCGCCATTCTATTTGCTTTGGGTTTCTGAGCATTGTCATTTCTCTCCAGTTTCTCTTTTGCTCTCCTCTCTCTCTCTCCCAAAACAGCATAAACGTCTCCCTACCTGACCAAATGGCAGCTCCTTCGTCTCTTTTCTCTGCTCTTTCGAGGGAGGACTCCGTCGTTGCTCTGGAAATCATCAAATCGGCGCCGGCAAACGTTTCCTTTTCCGAGATTAACGAGAATGGCTACTCGGCTCTTCACTTTGCTTCCTCTAAAGGTTCTTTTCTCTTCAATTTTCTGCTTCTTATTTTTTTATCACTGTTACATTTCTCTGTTCATTTTTATTCATTAAGTTTCTCTGTTTCCTTATACGATTTTATCTTCTAGGTTATCTTGGAGTGATAGAGGCGTTGATCGCCAAAGGCTCGAACGTGAACCAAGCCACCGACGCTGGAACTCCTTTACAAGTAGCAATTCTTTCCGGACAAATTGCGGCGTTGCGGACGCTGTTGAAGAATAAGGCTGAGGTAACTGTGTTCGATTTTGTATTCTTAAATTGTTTAGTGATTTTGTTCCATGAATCTGAGTTGTTGCTATTTTATTCATCGTTATCCTGAACTCTGAACTCAATATCTCGCGCTTCATCATAATCTGTTTGATTTTTGCAGCCAAATCAGTGCTCAAACAACCTTCCGTCGCCCCTAGTACTCGCCATCTCTCGTGCTTGTTCACAATGTTTCTATGCTTTGATCGATGTATGTGGTTTTTTCCGTTTTTAATTTTGTTTTTTTTTTTATTGCTGCTATGCCTTGAACCTTACATTTGAGGTTGATTTATTGCTTTTATTGATTTGTTAGGCTGGTGCGGACCTGGATCTTGAGTCGTTGGGGTGCTCTCCGCTCAATGTCGCCATCAACCACAATGAACATTTTATGGTTCAGAAGTTGATGATCTCTGGGGCGGACTGTTCTGTAGCAGATACAGTAAGACACTAACTCAATCAAGTATTAGTACTGTACGGTCTTTTTGTTTTTATGGAATTTGGTTTTAAACAAATTGCAGTTTTGGATGTTCTTTTCCCTGTTTGTGCTGAATTCCTGGTGGGTGACATGTATTCTCAGTGTTTTTCAGTTTCAAGAATCTGGGTGACATGTATTCTGTTGTCTTTGCCTATGATTTTTGTCAAGGATAAGATTCATGGTTGATAATCTCTTAATGAACTGCTCTGCTATGTTTATGTTTACTGGACTTTTCACGGTTAAGATGACTTGCGTTGATTACTTTGGTTCTATAGTTCATTTTGCCGTCCATTTTCAGTGAGATGGGAGTTTGACACTGTTAATCCATTGATTTGAATTTGCCCGTGTTATTTTTTTTTCCCTGCTGTTTACAAGGTATTTGGCCATCTTGTGGATGCGCTTACGTGTGATTGCTCATAGAATCTTGCTTTGAGGTTCTTGAAGAGAGGCTGTGCGTCTCCTTGGAAGTGCTTGTTTTGGGTTTTTTTCAGATGATTGCCTGATCTGGGCACCATTTTGTTGTTTGAAACATTTGAAGGGTGTATACATATTGGTTGGCAGTATTTTGTGAACTAATTATACCCTATAAATAGAATATATTCGATCATATCTGATGATATTGATGATATATGTGTCTTAGGCGGGCCTTACACCTTTGGAGTATGCAGCTGTTTCCCGTCAAACAAAGATACTGAACTACTTGATGGCTTTTATTGATCCAATTGACTCGTGCCCTGTGTGGACGGTAGCAGGAATCATTCAGCGCCTTAATTCTCCGAAAGAACTATCAAATATTGAGATTAAGCTCAAACAAAAGTCAGAGAACTTGATAACACATGGGGATGTTGCAGAATTGGATGGTAAAATGGAAATAGCAATCTTCTGGTACAGTGAGGTAAGAATCCAATCATGTTTGGTGAATTTTGTTGCAAATATTGTCATTGTGAATATTGCAAATTTCATTTCGCGAATTTTGTTGTGTTTGCAACTTTTTGTGATATTTGTGGCAAATGGGTTGGTTTTGCAGGCACTTATAGCTGACCCCACTAATCACGAAGCCTGGGCTAACCGAAGCAGGTGTTATTATAAATTGAATGCATGTCATGATGCTTTAGTGGATGCTGAATCTTTCATAAGATTGGCACCTCAATTGCCTGAAGGCTACATCAGGAAAGCAGAGGCATGCGAGCAGCTTGGGGTAAGAACTTTATTGTTGGATGAGTGTTTGTGTTGAGTTGGACCCAGAGAAAACTTACTTGGATATTTTAAGATCTTTTCTCTGTAGTTAGGATTAAAGTAGATATTCATCTGTAGTTAAGATTCTAATGGAAATCTCTCTGTGCAGAAATATGCAGATGCTGCATCAGCATATCTCGAAGCTTCAAACCTGGACCCCGAGCAGCAGGCCTACCTTGAGGGATATAATCAGGCACTTCAGAAGCATCTTGATAATTTGGATTTCTAATTTTGCCAGGGGAGACGTCTAGATATAGAGCTGTGGAGACTCAAGGATAGTTGTAATCATTTACCTAAATGTTGTTTTCAGTGTCACACAATATTAAACTTTATCATATAGCATCCAGTCATTATCCTCAAGGTAAGTATCATCGAAACTGCGATAAGTATTGTTATTGAAGTGATGGTGTTTGAAACCAAATTGATTGGATTGGCTATGTCTGATTTCTTAACTTGAATAGTGAGCGATTGATCCAAAATATTTATCATGCTTGTTGCTACTTTGGTAGAGAGAAAGTATCAATTTGAATAGTTGGCAGGCACTCAGCTTTTCCGCTTAGGTGGCTGAGTAGTTATACGTTCACTAGTCACAGATTCAGATAGCCTTCCCTCACTGCCTTGCTTCCTTTTTGATTCGTCTCTCTCACTTCTAGGTTTTTCTTCTTCTTCTTCCCTGATTCAATCCCTGTTTTAATTTCCCCAAAATCCATATATGAATGATGGGGGGGTCGTTGGACGGACCTAATTGAATAGGTTTTAGTGTTTGATTATTGACAGCTGTCCGCTGCCTGAAAGCCTGAAAGTCATGTTGTTCTCTCTTGAGCACCCTACCACTCACTATGTGACTATAAATGGGCATTTTCCTTACGAAATCACATTAATCGACATCTAAGAAACAGATAACTTTAAGTGGTCACAATTTGGGAACTCTTCACGAGTTGGAATATTGGGAACCATATTTTTCTTTTGTCCCAATTGGAAATTCGTAGAAAACATGTAAATCAGATTTAGTTATAGGAGTTGTGACACCATTTTAATTATTATTAAGCTACCCAAGTACTACTTTGATGTATGGCATGAATCACGATTTGACAACATGATTACGTGTAATTCAGTGGATTACGTTTTTCTTTTAGTAGGACTGTAGTAGTAAAATTTACAGAACTCCATGAACTGCTTCCATGATCTATCTTCTCTATACATATTCGTGTCGTTCTACATTGAGAGAGCCTGGTGTAACTTGCAAGTGCTGAAACACTCTAGTATACAAAACCTGATTACTTGAGTTAGTTTTCTGATTAAATCTCATCGCCAAACAGAGGTGGTGACCCGCGCGAAACGCACAATTTTGATCTTGCTCTTAACTAATTGGAGCTCTAGGTTGCTTTTTTTTTTTGTCCACTTCTTCCTTCCGATACAAACTCAGTTACTTTGCTTCTTGGTTTTGATTTAATACTTTGAAAACTTTTGAGTTAAATCAATACTTAAAAAAAGAATGAAAAAGTTAAAAGGAAAAAAAAAAAAGAGAAAATTTAAACCATGGGCATTTGCGGGAACAATTGATTAATTTTGCCAAAAATGTGTCATCCTCCGGGAGCTCAAATCAGCGGACACAAAAGGCCTTTCGAGCCCACACCAAAAACCTATCAAATTGGGAAGATTGGAGTGGTGGTGGCTCGACCAAAAACCTATCAAATTGGGAAGATTGGAGTGGTGGTGATATCCTCTCCCTCCGGGTACCAACCCGACCCGTTTGAGTACACATATTAATTAGTAGGCAGTTAATTGATGCATTAGTTCTGCTCATTTTGAGTACGCATATGAGTCTGAAGATGATGAAACAACTGGTTATGCCATTACTGATCCATCTTTTTTGCACGCTGACGGTATATTTTTAAGTTGTTAAATGTGAAGATACTCCCTCTGTTCCATAATTATTGTCCAGTTTGGATCTTCATTTCTAGTTAAAATTGTACTAAAAGTGAAATCTCAAACTGGACAATAATTTTGGGACAGAAGGAGTATGGTTTCAGATTTCCTTACCGGCAATCGTGGATTATCTCTCCACTCTTGGTTTAGTATGAATCATCGTAGCGCATAGAATATGAATGCTGTAATATTCTACATCCTCCTGTCCTAAGGCACAAATTAGCTCTAAAATTAGTTCAAGCGTAGATCTTAGGATGTCATGTTGCGGGCCTTGCGGTACCGCAAAATCTCCGTGATTGTATTACTTGAGATTTTTCATTTATTGATTTATTTATTTCTATGTACTTATTTATTTCTATGGCCTTACTCATTTGAATCCATTTGATTACGTTGACCTCTTAAAATGGTTTTAAAAAAAAAAAAAACCCTCTTAAAATGTACAAAGGAATCTAGTATTGAAATTTGACTATTAAAGCAAATTGCTTAATTAAATGGGTTTGAACTTTAACATGTTTGTATAGAAAAAATGGCTAATTTAATCTTGAAATTTAACCATCCGATCGATTCCATTTCATAATATTTCAAAGTAGTGTAATTTTATCATAATGTTTAACACTCTTGCCAATTTCATCTTGTCAATTCCAAATTAGCATTTTCCCGCAATTAACCTAGTCAACTGGCTTGATTTTTATTTTTATATTATCTTCAAACTTCTCGACTAAAACGACAAGTTAATAAAATCGTTAATTAATTTAATCATTTTTTGAAAAAATGATAGAAAATCACGTGACATCATTAATTAATTTAATTACTTTTTAAAAATATGAAAAATATGTCTTTTTTTTTGTGGGTCTCTTATTGAATTTTTAAATAAATTACCTAAACTGCATTTTTTTTTTAATATATCACTCCTTTAAGCAATGTATATGATGACAGGGAATATGATGATAATGAAGATAGTAGGGAAGTAAGGTTAAGGTTCAGTTGAGTCAATGCTTAAACTGATATCCATCCTCATAAATTCAGTTCTGCTCAGTTGCACCATTAACAGAGTATCGTAGTAAGGTAGTTGGCCAGAGCAGTTCTTTAATCCTTTTCTTATTTTTTGGGCCGACATGGCTTCATCGGCTTAGTCCCGATTTTGAAGCTAAATGGGCTTCACCGACAGACGGGTTAGCAGAATATTATGTCCACAGCTGGACAAAATTTGCCATGATATTCCGGAGTAGGCTGCCATATTACATACTCTATTAACATAGGCTGCCATAATACGGGTTAGCAGAATAATCTAGAATGTTGGCAGTATATATAGGCTGCCATAATACATACTCTATTAACATAATTAAACTCTATTTGCACTCGAGTTTCTTTAAGCCAACGATATTAGCCCTAATATATACTCTATTAACATATTCAAACTCAAGTCATTATTCAGTTCTTTAAGCCAACTTATCCACAACAGAAAAGTATTTTCCAGATAAATGATGCGGTTGCGTTCCAGGCAAAAGAGTTGTTGGGAATGGAAAGTTAAGACAAACACGTGCCTAAAAAATGTTGCTCCATGACAATAATTAAATTGTATAACGACTTTCGGGTTTATACCATATTTGAATAACTACATTTTCTTGGCTAAAAATTTAACAGAAATAAACTTAAATCATTACTTTCCGCATAAAAATAAATAAAGAAGTACAACAATAGGATACTACAGAAGCTTGAAAAAAAATGTAAATATCATCAAGTTGTCCAAACTAAAAGGCAAACACACAAACTTTGTTTTTTTGAATTGCAGAAATCAACTTTATTCATTTGAGGAGAATATTTGAAGGAAACTCAACGCATGCCTTATGCTCAACTTTCTTGCTACTCTTTTGTTGCCTACTTTCCTTTCAATCAGCTCGCACCAGCCCACAGAGTAGTAGGGAATGAACCTTCATCAATTGAGGAGATAACAATTTTCCACAAAGCTGCCACTTCATTCCCCCCACCAATACAAAAACTCAATTCTATACGTCGCAAGAAGTCAAATGGGCGAGTGAGATAATATTCTCCTCAAAATAGAACCAATGTTTTGACCTACATCTCCTTGCTAAAGAATCGCTAGTCGCAATTGGTTTCCACTCTTTCTTTGATAGATCAAACAAATAATATTGGTAAATAAGGGACCGTCCAAAACAATCTATCATTAACACCTTCCCATTAGGGAATACACCAACGATACAGGGAAATTCATCAATGTGAACTCCTTCTAATGGTTCAGTTCGTGGTGGCAGAAATAGCTGCTTAATCCAAATCCCATTGTTATAGTCGTAATATAGGATCTCGTCAGGTCCTCCACTACTTTGATTACATCTCGTTACCATTAAACTGGGTCCAAAATTTATTAACGATCCCAAAACTAAGAACGACTCAATCTGAATAAACTTCTCTTGGGCCAAATTAAAAGATATTATGATAGTTTGACTGGCACTTCGACTCTCCCAACAGATATTCCCGTCTAAACATGCACCTCTCTTTATTCTCATGTCTATCGATGTAACTGAAGGGGGAATGTTTCTCCACAAAGAATCAACTCCAATAGTGAGAATTGCCGCATGATTGTCACCCGTGTTGAGTAACTTGTATCGTTTGGTGATGGGATCGTAACCTAAGTGGTACGCACTAGAATGACATGCTTCCTTACATTCCCCAAAGTTCAAGTCAGGAAGCTTCACCATCTCTCTGGTGGCAATGTTATACAACCACGACTGCTCTCCTCGATAGAAACATATTAGACCGTCCACAATGTTTGTACAAGCTTTTTTTAGCGCGTGTCCATGATACACATATTGGGTGTCGAAGCTCTCACTATCAAGATTGAGGAACTCAAAACAGGTATGGTTATCGAAGGACACAAGGGGAAACCAAGACTTTTCAAAAGTCCAACTGTGAAAAGATATTAGACACGGACCACCACCACCGCTGTAAATCTTGGAAAACCTCAGATCCCTAATGATTGATAACCAAGTTCGAGATACACACTTAAAGCGCATCAAAGATTTGACTGGGATCCATCTCAAGATTTCCCAAACCAAATCATTCGGGACCATCTTAAGCCTAATACAAAAGATACGAATCAATTGTCAAACTCAAATAAAAACTAGTACAAATTTGGGCGGACTGGAGAACTTTTGAGATTGATACCAATAGCCAATAGGCAATCTGAATTCAAAGTGAAGGAGATAGGCAAGCTGTAGAGATTTAAGGAAGGAAGAGTCTTTGAGAGCCACAAGAGCTAGCTTTGATGTTATAAAACAATTAAAGCAAAAAACGTGAATATAGTAGCTACGTAACTAATCTATTTATAGATAAATTCCGATAAATCCTTATCCTAATTAGGTTTACTAATTCCTACACTTAATAAGACTAAAAACAAAAAGAATATTAGCAAACAGGAAACCGAACTAGAGGAAAATTCTAGACAAGATTAGTCGGAATCCAGTCACCTTTTTAAAAAAATAAAAAAATAAAAAAGGTTAAATCCTCATACTTGATTAGTTCTCCTTGCAAACCAATTTCCTTCCCCCACCACCGGAGGCGACCTGTAAGCTCCGGTCAATCAAGAAAAAACAGTGCTATTTGGTCGGGGCGGCCCGGAAAAGAAGATCTCAATACTTACAACAACGATGTTAAAAAATAGATTGGATTGCCTTCATTAACAGAAGATCGCGAAAACAAGGTTCGGAACCCGACCTCCCGGCGACCCGGCCTATGCTTATGAGCAACTGGAGTAAAACTTAATTGAATTATTCCACAATTTAGGTGAAACATCAACGAGAAATCAAAAAAAAAAAAAATTGAAGAAACAATACCAGTTTCTGCAACTTTTCACGATTTTTGTGGTAAATTTATCCGGCTTTTGCAGGCTGTAATTTGCAACCCCAGGAATTACGAGGCTTGGGCTAACAGGAGTAGCTGCCACTATAACTTGAAGGAAGGGCGTGATGCTTTGATTGATGCAGAAACTTCATTAAGTTTGGCTCCTCAATGGCCTAAAGGCTATCTCAGAAGAGATTAATTGGATATGATTGGAGAGAACTGAGAAGATTAATTAGATCATGATTTTGCCATCTCTAGTAGTGTGATCGGGGGCCGGGGGGGGGGAGCGGGAGAGGAAATGAGAAATTAGATCATGAATGTGTACACTGGAAATTGCATTAATTGAGAAATTTATGTAGACTGAAAATTGCATTATATTTTGGAGATCTACTTACACGTGGCACATGCACGATTCGAAGATGTATGGAAGAATTTGGAGCCTTAACAAAGTAGTCCTACTCCATTTGTACTAATTTTCTAGTCTTCATTCCCTGGGCTGGGCTTGTTTGCCATCCATTTTAAGATGGACCCTGGAAAATGGATCAGGTTCAGGTGACATGTAGGAATTTTCCAACCCAAACCCAAAATGTAAGGAAGAAACAAATCAGTGCTTTTCAATAATTTAATTATTCCACAATTTAGGTGAAACATTAACGAGAAATTAAAAAAAAAAAAAATTGAAGAAACAATACCAGTTCCAACCGTCCGATTTTGCTCTAGCTGCTAATCTACGTCTTGGATGCGCCGGGGATTCGCTTCCCCTCTGTAAAGAATTTTGGCTGATTTAATAGATATGTGCTTTCATCAAATCTATGGTAGTTAAGGTTGTTGAAAAAACACTGTTACTAGCCAATATTGCCTATCTTACCAAAACTACCCTTCTCTCTCTAAATCTCTGACCCAATTCCAATTTATTCACGGTGCTCCCGGAATTAGCTGTTCTACTCAAATGTTTTTTTAATTAGCTAATTTTATTTTTAATTTTTAACCAGTTTTGTTGACTCCAATGCCATCTAATTTAAATAAGATACTAGATTTAATTTAGAAACTCTCTTATTTTGCTAGAACGATTCAAAAATATGTAAAAAAAAAAAAAGAAAAAGAAGAAGAATAAACTGCACAAATGGTCCTTTATATTTAACCAAAAAACTTATTTTGGTCCTTTATATTACCAATTCACTGATTTACTCCTTTACATTTTATACTAATTTAGTCTTTTTTCCTTTTTCTTTTTTTACCGTTTTTGGTCTTTTTTGACCATTTATCGGTCAAACCAACAGGGGTATTTTTAGTAACTTTTTCATTCTCAAATTTTAAAATATTAAAAATGAAAATTCATTAAAATAAATATAAAAATATTATATTAATTTATAATTAAATATTTAAAAAATTAAAAATTGAAAATTTAATAAAAAACCAAAATTTCCAAAATCTGAGTTATTCTTTTTTATCATATGGGCCCCACGTCTTATGTCTTCTTTACTTTAATCTATAATTTTTTCTTCTCTCTCCGATCAAAAATTTGAAAAAAAAAAGAATAAGGTAAAGAAGAAATCATACATGGGGCCCACAGGTTAAAAAAATAACTTGTATTTTGGGGAAAAAAATCAAATTTTGATTTTTGAATTTTTATTATTTTTAATATTTAATTATAAAGTAATATAATATATTTAATATTATTTTAATCATTTTTTATTTCTCTAATAATATTTGAGAATTTGAGAATAAAAATTACCAAAAATACCCTTGTTGACTTGACCAAGAAATGGTCAACCAAGAACCCCCAAATGTAAAGTGTGGAAAAAAAATAAAATGGCTAAATTAATTTAAAATACAAATATAAAGACCAAAAGAACAAATTATTCATATAAAGGACTAAACTAAATTTTGGACCAAATATAAAGGACCATTTGAGTAGTTTACTGAAAAAACAAAATCCTCCTTTTCTGCTTTCTTTTTTCCCTTTTTGTTTGTTGTTATTTTATTCCCTTTTTACTTTAGCACTATTTTAGAACCATAAACATAATAGCCAATATGTGTTAGATTGGGGAAGAAAAAAAATATGATTGGATTTATTTATTTTGGATAGAATTGTTAATTTCATTCCCCTCATTCATTAGTATATTTTTCTAGAAATATTATTATACGTTAATATAAAATTTCACTAGATTCTTGTCCTGGTGAATGCCCGGGCGGCCTCTCAATTTTTCTTGGCAATATATGTTTTTAATTAATGAAATTAAACTTTCTTTGACAAAATAAGAAAAAATAAATATAATTATAGATAATTTAAATAATCGTAAAGGGGAAAGGTTCATTTCTATAAAAATACAAATCAATGACATTTTAATTAAAAAATCTCCTAAGATGAAAAATCCTATAATTAAGGGAGAGAGCAGTATATTAAGGGATTAGTACGTAGCTATAATTAAGAGACTTATTTATTTATTTATTTCTTTTTTTTTCCTGAATAGTTAGAGTACCACAGGTCAAAAATGATTTTGTACTGAAAATGGCCTTTGCCATGAAAATTTTTACTGTGGTGGTGACACATCAGCAACTTGTATACTGTTTTAATTAAGTACTATAGATGAACCATTTATTTATTTTATTAAAATCTATCATAAGAATTAATCCCTGCATATTTCTAATTCATGCTTGCATTTATCCAAATATATTAATATTATTTATGTTGTAACATGGTTCATTAGCATTAAGTATAACATTTTTCTTTTCTATTTTTATTTTTATCTTAAAAAGAAGTGAAAATACTCAATTCAAATTGCAATTCCACATAACTCTATAAATTTGGTGAAACCTTACTATATTTTATCATCATTCCCGTATTTTATTTTATTCTTTGCCCTTACCCAGTACCACAACTATAGTGACCTCCTTTCATTTCATTCAAACTAAAATTTTATACAATAAATAAAATTTTTTGATCAAGTGAGAGGTCAATAGTAAAAATAAAAAATAAAATTTTAAAAATTCTTCCCGAATTAATTTATGCACTAGAAATAATTAGAGTTGTGGCATGAATTGATTAGATTTGAAGATAAAGCATTTCGTAAAATTTTCAGTCATAATTTGACAGCTCTTGCTGCTATCTGTTGCATGATATTTTTTTTCTACCAAAATACTATTTTACCATAAAAATATATATGAGAGCACTAAAACCAAAAATAAAAAATAAAATCTCACCATAACTTTTCTTCCCTAATCTAACACTTAGCCTTGATCATATTTTTATGATCCTAAAAGTAGTAAAAGAAAGAAAGAATAAAATAGGAGAGGGGGGGGGGGGAAAGGAAGGATTTTTTTTTTGTTATTTTTACATATTTTTGAGCTATTTTTTAAATTATAGGGGAACTTGTATAATTAAAAGGTTAAGCAAACAAAGCCATATGATGAAAATTTTCAAGCTTTGTCAAGGTAAATTTACTCCTAAAGTTGGGTTGGGCTTTTTTTCATGTAGTTGCCTGAATTTCACAAATCTGGCAATCAGCCACGTTTCTGGTCCACTATCCCAGGGGCAAATTTCCATAGAATTCGTCCGCAATGGCGTGCAACTTTAGATTTCAGTTCCAGTTGATCAATACTGGTAGGAGAAAACTGAAGAGCATCAGTGTCGTGTCACCAACAAAATTAAGAAAAATTTAATATGTTAACAACATAATTTAACGAGAAAAAGGAAAAGAAAGGATAACCTCAAACAAGATTAAACTATAATGAAAAGATTACGGAGAAGGATTTTTTAATTCAATATTTAGATACCTGTAATTAATCGAGTTACATATGCAATTTAAAATATAAATACTATTACAATTTTGACCCCTCAACATGATAGCAGGCAGAGTTCTTCAGTCTTTACAAGGAAGATTTCATGACCGGCTTTACTACATAGTACATATTAACAAAGTAGAAGCTCTGTTTGCTGACATGCATCATATTGGATCAGGCCCAACGCAGTTATATGTAAAACACTTTCATTGGTGCCTACACCGAAAGGTACTTAATCCGACGGATTAATTTCCTTTGTGAATATATTCTGATGTTTACCAAAAAAAAAAAAAAAAAGTACTTAATCCGATTCGTTTCTTTTACAAGAATGTGTTCCTATACAGAAATTGGACTTGTTTTATTTTATAATCCCATCCGTTCTAAAATTATTAGTATTATCCAATTTGAACTTTTATTTTTAATCCAAAATAAATTAAAAACGAAATTTCAAACTAGATATTATCTTGGGATAGAGGAAGTACTAGTTTATATCGGAGACCTTTTGTAAACTTTTTTTTGTCTTGTCCAACGATTCTTGTCTTGTTTGATCTTATCGGAGCTAATAGAATGTTGGCAGTATATATGGGCTGCCATAATACATACTCTATTAACATAATTAAACTCTATTTGCACTCGAGTTTCTTTAAGCCAACTATATCAGCCCTAATATGTACTCCATTAACATATTCAAACCCAAGTCATACTTGGGTTCTTTAAGCCAAATTACTCACAACAGAAAAGTATTTTCCAGATAAATGGTGCGGTTGCGTTCCGGACAAAGGAGTTGTTGGGAATGGAAAGTTAAGACAAACACGTGCCTAAAAAATGTTGCTCCATGACAATAATCGAATTGTACAACGACTTGCGGGTTTATACCATATTTGAATAACTACATTTTTTGGCTAAAAATATAACAGAAATAAACTTAAGATCATTACTTTGCGCACAAAAATAAATAAAGAAGTACAACAACAGCATACTACAGAAGGTTAAAAAAAAAAGATTGTAAATATCATCAAGTTGTCCAAACTAAAAGGCAAACACACAAACTTTGTTTTTTTGAATTGCAGAAATCAACTTTATTCATTTGAGGAGAATATTTGAAGGAAACTCAACGCATGCCTTATGCTCAACTTTCTTGCTACTCTTTTGTTGCCTACTTTCCTTTCAATCAGCTCGCACCAGCCCACAGAGTAGTAGGGAATGAACCTTCATCAATTGAGGAGAAACAATTTTCCACAAAGCTGCCACTTCATTCCCCCCACCAATACAAAAACTCAATTCTATACGTCGCAAGAAGTCAAATGGGCGAGTGAGATAATATTCTCCTCAAAATAGAACCGAGGTTTTGACATACATCTCCTTGCTAAAGAATCGCTAGTCGCAATTGGTTTCCACTCTTTCTTTGATAGATCAAACAAATAATATTGGTAAATAAGGGACCGTCCAAAACAATCTAACATTAACACCTTCCCATTAGGGAATACACCAACGATACAGG